AATAAATGCATATATAATTATTTATATATATATATATATGTACACAGTATATATATAAAATATATTAATGAATAAATAAATATATATAATTAATGAATTATATATATATATATATATATATATATATATATATAATTATCTTATATTTAATTTAAGTATTTATTTATATACACATGTATGCACTGCTTTAGGACCACGTTCATATTGGCCTTCTATTGATTGCCTATTTTGATGCTTAGAGTGTGTATTTAAAAAGGCCAGGATACAAGGCAAATTCTTTCATCAGTAATTGGTGTTAATGTTCATGCAGTTCTGCCTGTTCTCAGTATTGATTAGCAGATCATCTGCTGAAGCCAGACTAGTCCTCTTAAAAACAAAACGTTTATAATGTAGAATTTCTTCCAGTACGCAGCAAACGCCTATAGGGGAACCTATATGTTTCTGTTCCATTTAGGGTTGTGTGTTCTCAGTCTGACTTAGCTTGTGCTGGCAGAGCTGATGAAGGAACCACTGGTCCACATAGGCCTATTTCCAGGTGACATGATGTCAAATAGTCACACTGCGAAGGCCACGGATACAGACACTAGCCAGACTGACACTAGCCCTGACTTGTGCAACGCATGTCAGTTTTCTGGGCTCACATCAATACATTTATTCCGGTGCTACTAAAAGCAGAGGGTCTCTCACTCTCTCTCTCTCTCTCTCTCTCTCTCTCTCTCTCTCTCTCTCTCTCTCTCTCTCAAAAACACACACACACACACACACACACACACACACACACACACACACACACACACACACACACATATACTGCTCAAATGCTCACTGACAATAATCCTCTAAAAAGGACACGCATGTGAAAAATGGCTATATTACCTTCATTATCTTCATTTGTGATTGTTAATACGTTTGCACATAACATCCTTTCGTCATGTAGCCTATTTTGTAGATATGTAATTACATTGTTACAAAACGCATTTGCGATATTCTAGAGGTCAATTGCAGTAAATAATTGCAAAGCCTAATTTCCTTTACAGAAACACGAATTCACAAGAGATATTTACGTGATAGTAGCTATATAAGAGTACGCTGTTGTGCATTCGAATGGACCTCGCTAGTCCTTAAATA